TCAACATCGCATAGTGAAATATGGTGAAGCAAACTTCAATAATCGCTGCCAAACTCGCAATGTATACATTACTAGTGGTAACATGTAAGGTAGACAGAGATTGAACCTATTTCGAGGGAGGTGGAAGAAAGTGAATCTCTATGATCAAAAAGGAGTACATAATCTAATTTTGCATACATCCCATTTCAAGTATTCTGGAGTGATAAGGAATGACAAGAATGCCACGGCTGGCGTTTTACTGCCATATCCTTCAGCAGAGATACACACAAGGATCGTGAAGTTCGTTCCCCAATTATTAGTTTCTTGACCAGGCGATTCGGTGGCCCTGGAGTGGTCGTTGAGGTGGATGAGAGTGTGGATGTGAAAAGCAAATACGGTCACAGTAGACAGCCTGAAACAGTACGGATTATCGGTGTGTATGACCGGACATTGAAAGTACGTTTCCAATGAGCACAAAACTGCTCGGGGTATACCATTTTCACAGGTGAATTCGTCATGTGTATAGCAAATGAAGAGTGAACTGAAAGGCTAGGAAGCACTAAACACCTGTTTCGGTCTCATCAGTAGTGCGAATCTGTCGACCCGGCTGGGGACCTCACAGTTAGAATGCAAGCATGCTACCCACTCGGCCACTGGGCAGCTGATCAGACCGTATTTCCTTTTCCATTTGCACGAAATAGTAGAACCCATCTTTGTGAGCTTGTTGCGGGACACGGACCTCGCTCATCTCAGCACTAACCTCCGGGTTTGTGACTCGGTTGGAAACCATTTTACCAAACATACAGCAATAAAAGGGCAGTGGGAACGATGACACACACGGTCCAATGGGCTATCTATCGGTTATTATTATCTTTGGGGGTAAATCACATGAACGTTAGTAATTCCGATGACTTTTTCCATCCAGCACCAAGAATATGGAAGCCTTTCCGAGTTGGATTAAACTTATATTGAAGACGTTTTTAGGCGACGAAAGTACACATTACTGAAGATTCCATAAAACGACGGAACAGCAAGCTAGTGTTCTTCGATGGTCACCATAAACATTTCTATCACATTTAAATAGACTGAAGATCGTTTAAGGTGTGCTTCGTACTATGACACGGGATTATCTGGATTAAGTTCAATACAGCGTGATTGCTCAGGACAGTACAACACCTTTGAAAAGCATATATAAATTAACTGTTCCTTGAACTAATAAAACTTTTTCCTTCCGAGTGCAACTTCTTACTACTCCATTGCTTCATGGTTCCATATCGTCTTGTCCCTATCATTCGTGACCTGACAAAAGTACATTCACTCTGATCTTCTCTGCGATATAACTGGACCATTTTCCACGATTCGCGCAACCTGACACGAGACTGTCGCAAAGTCTGTGGCGCTTCTGTTGTATAGCCGTAAGATGATTATGATACTCCTGCTGTGCACAATCGTATTTGAGTGGACATTCTAAAGATTCGAGGGAGTGGAAAAGGTGCGGGTTCTTACTCGGGTGAGCTGGACAAGCATCACGTCCCTTGTTACATTTTACAGATCGTGTGATTTTCTGACCCGCACAAGGGAGAGTGATGAATACAAGGTTGCTTAAGCGCTGGTGGAGAATCAGCACACGATGGAGCGATGCACCATCTGGGTAATTCGGAATGGAAAACGTTTATGAGAGCATGACGTTGCGTAATATTTGTCCAAAAAACAGGCGCAATATTTCCAAGCGGTTCCAAAAAACGGACAAGACGATGGGGAACAATGAAGCTATCGTACTGTTTTTGCGCGGATATTATTGAATGATTAGCTTATGACCTATGACTACTTATGAGTAATATACTCCTAAATGCTAAAATGTGCCGATGGCAAAGCGCACTATTGGACTTCCACTGCAATGTTCCTAGTTCTCTTGCATCATTATTTGAATTGGCGCGACCTTGATTGTCATGAAAAACCTCGCAGTAGATCGAAATTTACGGCCTAAAATTAGAAAACATTTGGTGCAGAGCGGCATGGTAGTTCATTCTTTTTAATAAATGGTTATTTTTTCATGAGGATTTTCATCCTGGTCAATCCGAGTATTCTATATCGCATATCCTTTTTGATACGGTGCGAAGTCAACACTGTGACAAATGACAGTATTTAATCTTAAATAAAACGAGGAATCGTAGCGACAAAATGCTAAGACAAAATTTCTCCTCATGAAAGGAGTAAAAGCATATTTCAAAGAACGTCAAAATGGACCTTCAAAAATCCACCTTGAAGTGTGTTGTACGCCGAATAAGCGTTTTGTAATGTCGGCATGCCCAAACGGGAAGAAGCATACAAGCCAATTTGATGTGATGACAGAGAGGCGCATAACTCCGACATCTCAGTCCCCGATTTGTACAAATGGTTCGGTGTAAACATAAGCCCAATTTGTAGCAAAATCAAGGAAATTTTTCAGTAAAAACGTCAAGACGGAGGAAGAAACCCGACTACATCGAAGCAACACAACGGCTGCAAACAGCCAATAGAACGAAAAACCAACAGAACGAAGCGTTGGTGCTTATTCGTCGTTTTCGTGTATGCGCCAGCCGATTGCAGTGCCCTTGAAATCAAAGATGAATTCTACAAGGATCTTTCCTAACCGATCCGAGGTCTTAGGTCAACGGACATCATAATAGTCGCTGAAAACTTTAATGCTCAAGTGGGATCACTGGACGAATCGGAAGGAAGCCTAGCTGAACAGCTTTCAATCCCAGCCAACCGAACGGACAGCGGAGATCATTTACTTCAACTCAGCGCAGATCATGGATTGTTTCTATTGAGCACCAAATTCTCTTACAAGAAACAACATTCCCTCACATGGAAACACCCAACCCCTTCCCATAAATGGACCCAAATAAACTTGGTATGACGGTATAAAAACCCAAAGCAAGAAATTCGGTTATAAAGATCTCGTTAGGTTTCCTGGATTGGGACATGGGGAACAATGTGATAAAAGGTTAGAGACATTGAGTGCAATAAACAGTAGTTCTCGTACATCTGCTCACTGCCATTGCAACCTTAGCCTTCAAGAGTTTTCTATTTTCACTTTAACACTGGTTTTAATATTCCAATCCTCCCTTTACTCCTTCATCCTTCATGAAAGAGCAACCAAAACCGGTGAAGGAAAGTACAGGGTTGATGGCTGTACGAACTAAAACTGAATAGAGGATACACCGGGTGGATTAGCGGAAATCTTCTTAAGTCACCGTTGGGAAAACGATGGCTAAATTTGAACCCCAGCTGAGGTCAGCCGATGTAAGGTCGTTTTTGAACGACCAACAAAGGGCATGAATTCATTTAGCCAACAAATTAAAATCGCATGGACCGTACATTTTGCGCTTGGTTTACGTCAATGATGAAAATCTGGTGGTTGCCGAGCGATACACCAGAAGGAAAAAGGTGATCCGTTGATCGAGTTTTCCATAGAAATCTAGTTCACTGGTCACAAAAAATAATTATTCGTCCCACCTGGTGAGTTGGAAGAAAAGTAGATACCTTAATGTCGGGCTCTTGTATGTGGCACTCTGGAGAGTGTTAAATTTGGTGCACCGATCAAGTACGTTTTAGTTGACTGCCACTCTCGAAACGCATTCGCAAAAAGCTATACTTAGAAGAGATAGCTCAATGTCTCATTTGACGCGAAATGTTTTAGACCCCATTCTATATTATTTTCTCATATTCTGGATGGTCACGTACTACGGTCGAATTTAGCTACCGCTCAACGGCCCGGATACGAATACAATCGAAAACTTTTTCTCTGTGTTGAAGTAAATTGGTTAACTAGAGAGTGGTCGTCAGAGGTCTGAGTGTGGCATGTCCTGGATGAAACTGACAAGTGTGATTTGATTCCAAAGTTGGCGAACTCCATGCCCAAACAGCTGGTCATCATCATCATCATCATCGTACAGCAAAATACAGTGAAGCGAACTTCACTGAACGCTGCCAAACTCGCAATGCACACAAGGTTAGTGGTAAAATTTAAGGTGGACAGGGATTGGATCTATTTTGAGGGAGGAAGAAGGTGAGGCACTATGCTCAACACATAAAGTACGCAATCGAACTCCGCAAACATACTGTTTCAAGCATTCTGTCCTGATAAGAAACGACAACAAGAACGCCACTGCTGCCGGTTCGCTGCCATATCCTTCAATGTCTCCAACAAACCAGTTGTGCAGTCTTTCGGACCCCAACCTGGAAGGTGAGAGACACCCACTCTACCTAATGGCTATGTGCATTTCGTCATGCCTCGCCTCCACGTCATCTGTTGACCTCCACGCGGCTGCCTCCAGCCCGGATTAACTACAGCGAATAAAGCGCGGTGCGGCAGATGATGGCTGGGCATACGCAATAGGTGCCCCAGGCAGCGAAGTCTACTAATTTGAATTCGGTGTGCTAACATGTTTATATCTGATAGACTCCCAAACACAGGACGGCTTACCTCCATGTTACTAACCCGTTCGCTCCATCCAACGTGGGCTAAACTGCGCAAACACCAATAATCAAAAACTTCTAGTCGACGGATATCTTCTACTCGCAAATTTAAAGTCTCACAACCATAAAGCAGGATTGAACGAACGTTAGCACAATATACACGACCTTTCAATTCCAGTGAAACGTCGAGTCTACGCCGAAGGTGTTTCAGTCCTGCGTACGCTGCTCGAGTCTTGGAAATGCGGGCGGTTATCTCTCTTGCTGCGTTATCGTCATTGGTCACGCAACTACTCAAGTAGGAAAAATAATCCACCATAACTAAATCCTGACCATTTAGTTTCAGAGCGGGAGTAGAGGAAACCCAGTCCTGCAGCATCAATTTGCACTTTGAAGGTGCAAAGCACATGCTGAATGTGGCATCTGCACTTGTTAGTCTATCAAGTGCGCTTTGCGCGTCCTCCATACATTCGAACAGACAGACGATGTGATCAACGGCTGGCCCAAATGTTCAAAAATAAAAGAGGAAACATAGGGTATTGGTAAACTGAAATTACAATACCGGTGTCGTACCTATGCCATTTTAATTTAATTTCTACTCAGGTTTCATTACCTTACAACTGAGGAGGCAGCAGACATACATTCGGTTTTGCGTGAAGGTCACGTAAACCTTGTCTTCAACTTGCCGCAAGACATGATGCACGAATCCGTAGACATCTTTTCGGATACTCAAGGTTAACAATGAGGACGTGCAAGTGCCGTCAGCCGGAAATCGGAGAAAACTCACCGATTACCATGATCCAAGAACAGGTTATCTAAATCTGGTTTGGCGCATTCGAACACATCCAACAATTCCAGTGTATACCAGTTGTGTGTGACACCATGGTTTGTTTCCAAATAGCGACGCAAAACCTTAAAATAGGACAGGACAAAAAATTGGGGTCACATGATCCACGGAGCGACAGAGTCAGGACATGTATCAAAAAGCAACGTAATATCAATAGCCATTTAAAACATACTAGATCCGACAGTTGTGTGCCAAAAAGGTAAGAAAGCAGATAGTATCATGTGTGTTCAGTCAGAGATGCACGCTCAAAATAGACGACTTTACAACGGGCCTCCTGGGCATCAACGGGAGCAACGAATTGACAGTAATCCGTTAAATCAAACAAGACGAGACGAGAACACGTTTGTAGATAAACCTAGAAAAAAGGTGAAAAAACAACGCTTCATGACGGTTTACCATCGGAATTCTNCGGCGCATTTCTCCTACTGTGACAAAAGCAAATGAAACAATCGACCCCATGATATAGGCTAGCGTTGGGTGAACTCTTCCATCCCTTTTGGTGAATGCTACGGTCCTTCACAACTCAGCAATATCACTCGTTCTCTTCTTCCTTCTTATTACGGATTTCTTTTTTCGTGGTATTTGAGCCACCACTACACACACATGTTCGCCGATGATGCCACCACACACTGCTATTTCGCTCCGTCATTATCAATAGTTTTGGCGACCGTTGAACCCTAATCACCATCCCCATTTCCACCCAATGACACTTTCACTGGGGGAAAAATAATCATACTTTTCAATATTTTCAAGACTTCCCACCTCTATCTCCACCCAAAGCACACCCATTTACCGGGCTCAACTTCCGATGCTCCCCGCTTAGCATCACAAAACAGTGCATTGCGTTAACTCCTAGTTTTCGTTACTTGCTAAAATTCAAACACCTAGTTCTCGTGCTGCGCAGAAGACGACCCCTCACTCAAATACGACGTTTGCTGTACAAAATTTCGATGCGCTTCCTGATTGAACCGTGCTGTATTCAATTAAATTTCTCTCTTCGATTTGTGCGACCTGTACTGGGCCCACGAGTAAATCACGAACCGAGTAAGTATAATCAAGATTATTGCGCAATGACAAGCTTGACACAAAGCATGGACTCAGGCAAGTATAAAAGATAATGATAATTTGATCTGACTGTCCTTCGGAATTCATATTCCGTTTAGAGTACTAATCACAGGTTGGGGGGAAGAGTTGTACTACTGATGACCTCTGATAACTACGAAACCCGAGTGTATGGTTGACTAGATGAATTGAGTGAAGATGAATTCGGAAGGATGACCAATCTAAATCAATATAATAATATTATAAAGCAAGGTAAATGATCATCATCATCATACGGTGAAATACAACGATGCGAACTTTGCTGATCGCTACCTCGGTCACAACACATGCAAAACCACTAGGAACTTCTAAGTTGGTTAAGAGGGTAGACCTGTTGTGAAAGTGAACCTCTGTGGTCAACCGAACTATACATACCCAAGTTCCGACCTGATAAGAAGGAAAGCCACTGTTGTCTGTTTTCTCCCAGACCCTTTACTGTCTCAAACCAACAAGAGTTACAGAATCCTTTTTAATCTAGCACGGAAACCAGGAGATACTTCATCTATCTAATATCCTCGTATTTCGTCTCCATGTCAAGAAAAGGTCAGGTTGGTGCCAAGTGTGTTTCAGTCCTGTGAATATTGCTCGAGCCCTGAGAATCGGGGTGATTGCCGTATTTAGTATGCAACCATCATTTGGAACAAAAATACCTAAATGCAAGAAGCAATCTGCTACAGTGAATTCCTGGCTATCAAGCATCTGTGCGAGGGTAAAGGGAACCTAGTCACTTTGCACATTGAAGGAGCCATACGCATGTCGAATAGACCAACAGAAATTGTCAATCTGTCAAGTGCGCTTTGCGCATCCTTAAATTATTCGAACAGACACACGATGTCAATAGTGTACTCTAAATCGCACAGATTTTCTCCAGCGGCCCATTTAATATGAGCATTTCAGACACCATTTATGGTGTTCTCTAGCATTTCGTTTACGGCGAATTTGAACAGGAGTTTTTTTCATCACACCTAGGTGTGATGAACAGCAGACGGGGCGGACCCCATAGCCACGAGGACCTGCTGTTCAGTGATGGAAACCGATGACCTAAGTCCCGGGACTTGGAGTGGCGAACCACTTAAGGCCCCGCTAGGTTAAGCGTGACGAAATAGGACAACCTTGGTGAAAACTGATGCGGGTTCCGAACGCACTACCAAACCAGAATTATGAGTAAAGTGACCTCAACAGATTAATATTTATAGGGCATCCCTTTGCGGAGAAATGAATTCATTTTGGTCTCCTAATCAACTGAATTGATGGGTCCTTTTTGATAAAGGAACTTTGTGACCGTTGGTCAATGATGTGTGTGGAGTAACCCGAGGACTTGAAATAAAGTGAAGATTTGGTCGATACAACCGAGACCTGGTTGGAATCCTATTTGTTAATCACAGATATTCGTCTCTATTAGTGTCAGACGGCGAATTACCGTAGGAGCTCACACTTTGGTGGCGATCGAAACTAAAATCAGCCTGCAATGCTTTGCGCAGTCGTGCACCCACGTAGGCGAACTTTCAGCTTTTTATGCCACACATATGGATGAAAAAGGAATATAACCGCATAAAACAAAGTTAAGATAAACCAGAAACCAGTTTTTGTAACAGGAGCTACGTAATTCGGTGAAACGTCCTCCTTATTAAAAAGTAGACGCTCGAGATATGGTAAAACAGAATTATGACATGCAGAGGTACGAGCAAATCGAACTTTGAGGGTGTGGACTAAGTAGAGTCAGCATTCAAAAGTTCGTCGTATGATGGATGATGAATGTCTGAGAGTACTTTAGAAATAAAATTTTACATGCATTTAGGTATCCGTCAATGACAGAGTCCGAAAGTGTCTGTAATGATGCCAGTTTATTTAGAGTATTCTAAATTGGAGCGACCAATCATTCACCCCAGGACACTGGGACACGCCTTTCTGACCAAATGTTGTCTATGAAATCTGTAACCGGGTCCACGAGAGAACTAGCCCCTATATTAAAAAGAAAGGGGTTAAGTCGATCAACGCCGGGATGTTTTCCTTTCTTCAGCAATTGAATACGAAATCTTTCTTTCAGTTCTATGTGGGACCCACAGGTCGCCGTTCATGGACCTTCAACTCTAATCGCTGAGATAACCAGGCTAACATCAAGCCAGGTGAACTGCTCGCTAAAATCCCCTACCCCGCGAATTCAGCCGTTGATACTTATTGTAGCAACTCGCCTAATCTTTTTCTACATACAACTGGCAATCATTATCCCATCACCCGACAGTCCAATTTTGGCAGTGTTTATTGCTGTTCTTTTAAATAAATAAATAGTGCTCTTCTGACCTTACCCCATCTGTTTTTAAATTTTTCACAACTTTAGGACATAGACTGTAGGTTAATCTTATCATGACTGTGGTTTAGGTCCCTCATAACCGGCTTCAAGTTCTCCCTTTTACCTAGAACAAACAAAACGCAGAACTTTCCTACCTTGTTCACTTTCCATTCGACCTACAATCTCAACTTCTGCTAAACCAAAATCAGTAAACCGGATATACTGCGAAATGGGCCCTTGCACGTTTCCCTTCGTATGGTATATATTAATCATGTATCATTAGGCTTACCATTTTTATACAAAAAAACTCGGATTTCGTATTTGAAGAAATGAAACGCGTGTAGAACGATGAATATAGCAAAGCCTATATGGTGAATACTTCTCTACGAGTCAACTGCATATCCACTTTGATCCTCGACTCACATCATACATGGGCTCTTTCTCATCCATTGGACGTATGTCACATTTCAGTTGACGATAGTGAATATCCAAAATGTTCTCCTTACTGACATCCTCCTGTTTCAATACGCTTACAGCGAATTCAATGTCATCCAGGGACTTCAGTAAATCTAACTTCTCTTTCACTTCATCCATAGTGCGGATTAGGGGAGGGACGCGCATCCTAGACAAAGAGAAAAAACGCGGTTCGGATCAGTGCGAAGATAGGCACCATCAAGAACGTTAGACATCTCCACGGATACAATATTTTGGAAAAAGGCAACATTGTATCACCCTAAATACATGGAGTTCATGGTTAGATGGCATCCTATTGAAAAACATCGGGTGGGGTACTAAGGATGCTAAACATTCAAGCACACATTTTGCGAATTGGCAGAACCAGGAAGCTAGAGGGCAAATGATCACATAAAATGCATATAAATAGTGCAGAAAAATGAACAATCCAAAGATCCTAATTTACCTCGGTCCAAGAATTCAACACCTCTGACTTGTTTAAATCAGCTGATGAAGGTGCTTGTCCGCGAACTCAGTTTGGAAACCAGAAAAAGCTTTCAGAGAAGACCCCCACCTGGCTTCAAACTTCCTGAAGCATACATCGGAGATTAAAACAGTACTTAAGTTGAATGTTTCAATGCGAACGAAGCAACGAACACCTGGAACTGTCCCCTGGGCGATGTACAAAATGATGAGAAGACAGACGACCATAACAATTTTGCAAACAGAAAAACGTCTAGTGTCGGGCTGAAACTTGTGCCTTAGATAAACGAATAAAACTTTTGTTTACTTGAGTGAGGAGAGTAAATTTGGGTT